CTCCCTCTCCTGGTCCCACTTCCCCAGCAGAACCAGGCAATGGCCACGACAGTGTAACCCCCGATCCCCCGGGTCCCTCCACCCCTCAGCGCCCCCTTTCCCTTACTCCGCTTCCCAGGATCCCAGCCAGACTCCTGGGACACTGAGTCTTCCAAGCCCTCCCCTGAGCCGGGGTGAGGACGTGGGGATGCACTGGGGTCCTGAGCACCTCAGCCCACTGTCTTCTGGTTTCTAGGCCCTGCTGTTGGCCAGGACAGTGAAGAGAGAGAAGCAAGGAGAGAGGACAGTGGGGAAGTACCTGGGGCGATGGTCAGGGTGGGACACAGGGCCTGCAGGGAGGATGGCCAGGACCTTGGGCAGAGTGCCATTTCCTCCTCTCCAAGGCCCACCAAGCTCTCTCCCACAGGGCTCTTGTTCCGTAGAACCCCTGCCACCCATACAGCCTGCAGGCTCACTCCTGCTCATCTGTCCTTCTGAGGTTGCCCTCCTCCTCTGAGAAGCCCTCCCTGCTCCGAGACCAGGGTGTCTCCTTGATCTGCCCTCTCCTGGCATCCTCGCCTGCCTCTCACTGTTCACCGTGTAAGATTGTTACCCATGAGCTGATTATTTTAAAAACAATGAGGAACTGATTCACTTTGTTATAAAGCAGAAACTAACACACCATTGTAAAGCAGTTATACTCCAATAAAGATGTTAAAAAAAAAAAAAAAAAGGGCTTCCCTGGTGGCACAGTGGTTGAGAGTCCGCCTGCCGATGCAGGGGACACAGGTTCGCGCCCCAGTCCGGGAAGATCCCACATGCCGCGGAGCGGCTGGGCCCGTGAGCCACGGCCGCTGAGCCTGCGCGTCCGCAGCCCGTGCTCCACAACGGGAGAGGCCATAACAGTGAGAGGCCCGCGTACCGCAAAAAAAAAAAAAAAAAAAGGGAAAGAAATAGAACAAAATTAAAGAAAGAAAGAGTCAGGTGTCCTGGATTCAGATCTCAGCCCCGGTGCTCACACAGCTGTTCTGCCTTCGGCACGTTTTCTAACCTCTCTGAGCCTCGGGGGCTGCACCTTGTATAATTTACCTTCATTTTATACACCTCACAGGGATGTGGGGACTGAGATTATTCAGTAAAGTACTTTGCACCTGAGGGCTCATAACTGCTGTTGTTAGTATGAGTTAAAACTATAGAGTTATAGGCAGGTCACTGGAACGTCTTTAGCCTGAAAAGTGAAATGAGAGGAAGTAGTCCTCACCCTCAAAGTTGTGAGGAAGTCACTTAGCATAGGGTCTGGTACTAAGAAAAAGGTAAATGAGTGATGATGGGTATGATCACTGACTGTTACCACGACCGGCCCTCCAAGAATGACCTCAAGACAGAACCTCACCCTCCACGTGGGGTCACTGCTGCCTTCTGGTTAAAACCTCAGTGGTTTCCCCACACACACACCCCATCTTATCCAGGATCAAGTTCACACGCTTTGGCCAGATGCACAAGGCCTTCCGCCATCTGACTTTTGCCCCCTTTTCCAGCCTGTTTCTCACTGTACCGCCCCCCTCCTCTTTAAGGGCCGGGCACACCGACCCACTGTTACTTCTTGAACTCCCCACCCAGATCCCCATGTCCATGTCTTTGCTGTTCCCACTGCCAGGAATGCTGGTGCCTCCCAGTGACTGCCAGCAAATACCTCCTCCTTATTCACAATGAGGCTCAATTGTCCCCCACTCCCTCCCGGACTTCCTGGACCCACCCAGACTCCTAAGCATATGCTCCCATCCATGCCGTCCTGCTGGTCTTTGTTTACTGTCCGTCCACCTTCCCCCTGGAAGACAAGAACATGGGCGTCTCTACCCACGGTGCCTTGAACAAAGCCTGGCAAACAGCAGGCCCTTAGGAAGCAGTTGATGAATGAATGAATGAATGAATGAATGAATGTACGATCCACAAATCTAGCCAACGCAGTGCTACTGCGTTCCTCCAGAGACAGTTCTTTCCTTGGGGAACAAAGATCCCACATGCCGCGGGGCAACTAATCTTTCCCACACGTTCTGGGTGTAGCTGAATTTCCCCATATTTCCTATATGTGCATAGATGTTTTTAAAGTATAGGATTTAGGATTCCATCAAATTATTTCCTACCTAGTTATTTTATCTTATCGATTGTACCTTTTAAGCCAACTTATATGCTTTGGAGATGAGGTCATGCAGAAATGTTTTTTAAATGTTTAGTGTAAGACTCCCTTTAATAACTTATTTTTAGTAACTTATTTTTTTAATTGACAGACGTTATTTTAAGAGCCATTTTAGGTCCACAGATGAGAACTTATTTTTAAGACTTTTTTTTTTTTTTTTTTTGGCCACGCCATGCAGCATGTGGGATCTTAGTTCCCCGAGCAGGGATCAAACCCATGGCCCCTGCACTGGAAGCGCGGAAGCTTAACCAGACCGCCAGGGAAGTCCTTTAAAGACCTATTTTAATAACTTGATATTAATCCCACCTTGTTGGATTCTGCCCCTCATTCCGGCCCATCGCCATTTCTGGGCGGGTGGGGGCTTGGTTCGGCCATCTAGCAAGTGACCCTCCCTTGTCATAGGTGGGTGTCTGTCTGCATTGGTACTGTTGATACCAAGGTAGAGATGTTGATCATGTGGGTGGCAGAGACCTTCCTCCAGACCCTCTAGACGGACAGGGCCAGGTTCCTATTCCTTGGATGTGGGTCAATCAGGTCTGCCCACCTCACCTAGGTGTCTCTCTAGAAAAAAGCCTCTTGCCCTTTCTCCTTCTTCTTGCTGGAATCGCTGTGCTTTCTCATTTCATCCTCATGTTCAGTAGGTGGAGCAGGCATTACCCCCTTTTTACAGATGAGGATATTGAAGTTCAGAGAAGTGAACTGACTTTCTCAAGGTTGTGGGGCTCAGACAGCTCCTGCATGAAAACTGAAGCAGCAGTCAACTCACTCCATTGAGTTTAACTTGCATTGTTTCCCCTTTTGACCAGGCTGCCAGGAAGCTCAGCGTCAATGAGGAAGCTCAATCATGGCTAGTATGAACCCTTAACATGGGTGCTTTGCTGCCCCTTGCTTTCCCTTGTCCTCATTGCCTGTTTTGAGACTTGAAAGAGCAATCCTTTCTTGTAAGCCATCTCCAATTCTCTTTTGGAAAGATGGTGGGTGGGAGAGAGTTATATTCCACTGGCTTCCCCAGATCTACTCCCCACTCTGCTCTGGGCAGCAGGATACAACATGGATAGACCACATTGATGGGCTCTCTGGTTTCTGCTTGGGTTTGGCCAACAGGGAGCACCAGTAGGGAGTGAGGTCACAGCCTTCCCTTGTCAGGAACCTCATCCACAGGGCTCTGTCCCCAAGAAGCACTCCTTCCCTTCCTGCCTGAGGGTAGAGAAGGTGAGGCCCCCATAATTAGTCCAGAGTACTACCCTCTCCCTTCCTGCTTCCTATACCTGCCCACACCTTTGTAAAACTGTCCCTTTAGCAAATTCTCAAATTACCCAAATTGATCGTTTCCTATCAAGACTCTCTTATGGGCTGAATGTCTGTGTCCCTCTGAATTCATATGTTGAAGTTCTAGCCCCCCAGTGCGATGGTATTCGGAGATAGGGCCTTTGGGAGATAATCTTGTTTAGAGGAGGTCACAAGGGTGGGACTCTCATGATGGGATTCGTGCCCTTATAAGAAGAGGGAGAGAAATCTCTCTCTCTCTGAGCCAGCACCAAGGAAAGGTCATGTGAGCACACAGCAAGGAGGTGTTATCTGCAAGCCAAGGAGGCTCTCACCAGACATGGAATCTACTGGCACCTTGATCTTGGACTTCCTGCCTCCAGAACTGTGAGAAGTAAATGGGGTTTAAGCCACCAGTCTATGGTATTTTGTTATAGCAACCCGAGCAGACTAAGGCAGGCCCTGAACACAGAGTACAGAAAGCGCATTGTTAAGAGACCTTCTCGTGGGAATTCCCTGGCAGTGCAGTGGTTAAGACTGTGCACTTTCACTGCCAAGGGCCCGGGTTCAATCCCTGGTTGGGGAACTAAGGTCCCACAAGCCGCGAGAACTGGCCAAAAAAAAAAAAAAGACCTTCTCATGATCTCTGAAAATTCTGTTCTCCCCTCCCATTCCACGGCCCCTCTCAGCAGAGCTCGCCTCAGCATCTCATCACCTCTCCCCTGCACCTTTCAGCTGCCGCCTTACTGGGCTCCCTGCCCCGCCCCCAACACCAGACCTGTGCCACTGCTCCTCCAAGAACAAGGCCATGACCTCCCTCCACGGCCCAAGCTCCAGACAGGTATAGAGATGAGGCAACGGATCTGGTGAGAGCAGGCCCACAGGGGCCACATGTTCCAGGCTTGGCATGTGTGTTATATTCAGCCCTCCCCAGGAAGGAGAATTTGGGGACGAGGGTGGGGGACCGTCACATAAGCTGACAGTGGCACCGTGATGGGTGAAATGAGAGCAGAGGGAACAGCATGGACAACGATCAGGAGGCAAGAAACAGCGCGGAGGACGTTGGCTGAAGGGACGGAGGGGAGGGGTGCAGGGGTGGGGGCGGGCCCACCACACACCGACCAATAAGGGGCCTGGACTCCAAGCTACAGGCCACGGCGGGGCGGGGGTGGGGTGGGGGTGGGGTAGTGTTCTGCCCTGGAGAGATGGGCCAGTGTTCATCAAGGCTGGACGGGGGCAGAGCAGGCTGGAAGTTGAGAGGCCGGCAAGGAGGCTGACCGCTGAAGAGATAAATACGGCCTGGTGTGCCCAAAAGGGGGGGCTCACCCCCCGTCATCTCTTCACCCCTCCTAGCCTCCCAAGGTTCCAAGTTGTGTGTATTAAATTAAATCAACTCCAGCTCCTGGACGGCTCCTTTCTCCCCGCTCCCCCGCACCTTGCCTTCTCCACACACAAGGCAGCCTGGACGCTCGCGATGCTCGCGATCCAGCCGAGTAGGCATCAGGCTGCTAACGGAGCCCCGCCCCCCCCACCCCTCCCCCAAACAGCCTCCACCAGATCTGTGCCTTAGTTTTATTTTCTTTGCTTTGGTCTATACAAAAAAACCAATAACCAAAAACATAAAGCGATAATAATAAAATTTTCTACTGGGACCTTCCCCAGCCCCCCACACCCGTGTGCAGGAGGTGGTGGGGGGAGTCTGAAACAGGAAGGGGAAGAGAAAGCCCCTCACCGCACACCAGAGGGGTCAGCCAAGAGCACTTTTCAGGGGGTCAGCTAGGGCAGTTGTGTGGGCGGGACAGGTGCAAGGGAGCTGCTAACCCTGGGAGGGGCCAAAGCCAACTGCGCATCCTGGGGAGGGAGCAGGCCATGTCCTGGAGCAGGGGAGGCACTCTCCGCATCTCCGCCCCATCCCCCTGGTCAGAGGATCCCTGAACTTTTCAAGATAAGCTTTGGATTCTGGGCCTTTGGGCCTTGAACCTGGGGCCTGGAGACCCCAGGGGCTCAGTACAGTTGGTGGAGTTCAGTGACCAAATCGGAGCCAGCCGGAGAAGGAACCACAGCCCTATGGAGACGGGAAGCCCAGGAGGAGGGGGGACAGAGTGGGGGCCTCAAGTCTAAAGCTTTAGTGCCAGGGCCTCGGGGGTGGGAGGGGGTGTCGGGCCCTGGACCCACAGCCCAGAACAGGAAAGCAAGAGCAGATCGCCATCCCGAGAAAGACCCTACAGAGGACCTCTGAAGGCGCAGGGTTCAGCAGGAAGTTGCAGCCCTCCTGCCCAGGCTCAGGCACTTGGCTATCTCGCCCCAACGCCCGCGAGGAGAGCCTCTCAGATGGGGAACCGCACCTGGAGGGAGGGGCAGACACAGAGGGGTCAGGCCAGCCCTGTGGCCCGTAGGAGTTCGTGCATAACCCGGCCACCATGGTAGAAGGGGCAGGACTCCTCGCCTCAAGCAAAGATAACAGAATGAGGCAGGCGAGGCACACCTTCCCTGGGGGAGCTCAGCACCGAGAGACCCCACACTTGTTCCCCCCAGAAAGGAGCCAGGGTTTCAGGGGAAACCTGAGAGGGCCTCCATGAGAAGGAGGTTCTGAAGGGAAGGGAAAGCCCGAGCCTCAGCAGCCCATAGCGGGAAGGGAGAGCTGCAAAGCAGGGCGGGGAGGGGTCGCCATACTAGGGTCCAGGCAGCTAGGCCAGCATGTGGTCCGCAGTGGGGTAGGGGGGCCTGAGGCCGTCGCTGTAGGTGTCAATGGGATAGTCCCCATCCATGTCCATGTGCATCTCCAGGGGGTCCAGGGGCACGTCACTCGAGTACATGGGGCGGTAGGTGGCATCCATGTCTGGGGAGGAGAAGGGAGCTCCGTCCAGGGTCTCAGGTTACCCTGCGGGGGGGTCTGGACAGCCCTCAGCCACACACTTTCTACCTCCGCCCGCCCCCAGTGGGTCCGCCCCCTTCCCCAGACTCTCACATCAGGGACCCGGACAGAAGTGCATGTGGACACGACAGTGGCTGTCACTGGTCCTTTGGCCCTGGGGTCACAAAGTTGCCCCCTTGCTCACACCCACACACGCACCCCCTCTGCCCTGGGCTCTGCACACACTTACCATCTGCGTAGGGTTCATTAATGGGGATCATGCTCTGGGCCTGAGGATGGAGACAAAGAGAAACATTGTGGGAGGGGAAGGGTGGAAAATGTAGGCTCCAGGCTGGGAGCAAAGACCCCTTGAAGGAACAGAGGATGAGACAGGGTTACACAGAGCTCTGATGAACTCCTCTCCTCAGGCACCTCCCCAGGGTGGAGGGTCCCCACCATTCATGCTAGGAGGCACCCTCAGAACTAGAGCGGGGAGGGGAGAGGACTAGAGAATGGGTGCCAGGAGCTGCCCCACCCAGGATCAGGGCAGCCTCCAGCCTATACGGCACCTTCGTGCAAGTGAGAGAAAGGCACCCCTGCCCTAACACTTCAGATTAGTTTGGACAAAATAAAATTGCCATTTTGTAGGTCAAAAACAGTAGATGGTTCAACCCACTACTTCCATCTGCTGAGGATTGTCATAAATGACCCAGTTATAAAATAAAAATCTATGAAGTTGACAGGATGGTAGAGGCCTCCCTAAGTGCAATCCTTGTGCAGTGCACAACTTGCACAACCAGACACTGCAGCCCAACCCGGGATACTCACAGCCTCCCAGGCTGCAGGGTCGTGCTTGAAGAGGGAGTTGGTGAGCTCCACAGACACACGCTTTCGGTAATCTGGGTTCTTGTCCTCGGAGATGCGGAACAAGACAGCAGCAGCGTAGGTGGCTGAGCAGAGAAAAGGACGGGCCAAGTCAGGCGCCTGCCTCCACCCAGGCCGGAGGAACAAGGCTCAGCTTCCCCCCTCGACCCCTCGCCCCCAGCCCAGCCCCTCACCGGTGCCCTCATTGTGGGAGTGCAGTAGCTCCATGAGTGGGGCTGAGGCCCCCTCAGCATCAATGACGTCGGCCGCCTCCTTGTCCTGGGCCAGCTCGCACAGCACCCCAGCGGCCACACGCTGGATGTTCTCCACCGAGGAGTACAGGAGCTGGGGAGAGGGGGCGTGGGGTGGGCGTGAGGCAGGCGGGCATGAGGCACCTCACCGCCCTGCCCATCTCTGCCTCCGTTTTTTGGATTTAACCCAAGCCCATAGTAGAAAGCATGAAAAGTCTAAGAAAAGTAAAAAGAAATGGAAAAACACGCTGGACACAATCCCCCACCCAGACACAGCTTCTTTCCATTGGATTTTTATCACAGTCATATACATATATTTGATTCCTGTTTTTTTATCAAACATTGTAGCATAAAGCATTTTCCCACATTATTCAATAACTTTTCTTTAAAAATCTATGAGTTCACGGGAATTCCCTGGCGGTCCAGTGGATAGGACTCTGCACTTTCACTACCGAGGGCGCGAGTTCAATCCCTGGTCAGAGAACAAATCAGAAGCAGCACATCTATGCGCACATATTGATACTCAAGAGAGAAAGAGACAGAGACTTGGATGGACCTAGAGACTGTCATACGGAGTGAAGTAAGTCAGAAAGAGAAAAACAAATATCGTATATTAACTATTAATATTTGTGGAATCTCGAAAAATGGTACAGATGAATCAGTTTGCAAGGCAGAAATAGAGACACAGATATAGAGAACAAAAGTAAGGACACCAAGGGGGGAAAGCAGGGGGAGTGGGGGTGGTGGTGGTGGGATGAACTGGGAGATTGGGATTGACATGTATACACTGATGTGTATAAAGTAGATAACTAACAAGAACCTGCCGTATAGGGGTTTCCCTGGCAGTGCCAGTAGTTAAGAATCCGCCTGTCAATGCAGGGGACACGGGTTCGAGTCCTGGGCCGGGAAGATCCTACATGCCGCGGAGCAACTAAGCCCGTGTGCCGAAACTACTGAGCCTGCGCTCTAGAGCCCACGAGCCACAACTACTGAAGCCCACGCACCTAGAGCCCGTGCTCCGCAACAAGAGAAGCCACTGCAATGAGAAGCAGGCGCACCGCAACGAAGAGCAGTCCCTGCTCGTCGCAACCAGAGAAAGCCTGCGCGTGGCAACAAAGACCCAACTCAGCCAAAAATAATACATAAATTAATTTTTAAAAAAGAACCTGCTGTATAAAAAATTAAATTAAATTTTAAAAAAAAGAGAGAGAGAGAGAAAGAGAATGCTACAAAGCAAAACAACAACAAAAAGTAAAAAAACCTCATCAATCGCAAGTGGAGGTAGCTACCGGCACCAATTCCTTACTCTGAACTTCAATAATTAAAGGAACGAAATTTCAAAAACTAAAGTTCTTCTTCGACACCATTGTCTATGACCACATGATATAATGGACCATTCCTTTTTTAACCATTCTCTTATCATTGGACAGTCGGTTAATTTTCAATTATTAGTAGTAACACTGCAATTGTCAGCTCTGTGCATACATCTATGCCATGTTTTCAATTACATTATGCTATTGCATAAAGACAGAGTCCCAGACCTGTACTACTTGGCTGTCTATACATATTTCAAAACTGCTTTCTGGAAAGGTTCTACCACCTTATCTTCCCACCAGCAGGGTCTAAGGCTGCCCATTTGATCACATCTTCATCAGCACAAAGCACTCCATTTTTTTTTTTTTTTTTTTTTTGCGGTACGCGGGCCTCTCACTGCTGTGGCCTCTCCCGTTGCAGAGCACAGGCTCCAGACGCGCAGGCTCAGTGGCCATGGCTCACGGGCCCAGCCGCTCTGCGGCCTGTGGGATCTTCCCGGACCGGGGCACGAACCCATGTCCCCTGCATCGGCAGGCGGACTCTCAACCACTGCGCCACCAGGGAAGCCCAAGCACTCATTTTTTTCTTTGCCAATTTGATAGTGGAAAATGGGCTCTCACTGCAGGGTAAGTTTCATTTCTTTAAACTCCTGGGGTTGAGCATTGCTTTTTGTTTTTTGGTTTTTTTAATATTTCTTTATTTATTTGGCTGCACTGGGTCTTAGTTGCGGTACGCGGGGTCTTTAGGTGTGGGATTGAATCCGGGCCGCCTGCATTTGGAGTGCGGAGTCTTAGCCATTGGACCACTAGGGAAGTCCCGAGCATTGTTTGTTTATGAGCCAGCTGGGAATTGCATGTGCCTCTTCTTATATAACTACTGGGGTCTAGCACTGGGGTCTAGTATTAACGAGCTCTTTTTATATGAAAGATATTAAACTCTTGCCTGCTGTGGTGCTTGCAAATATGTTCTCAGTTTGCTGTTTGCTTTTCAATGCTTTTAGGTTTTGTCGGACATTAAAACATAGCTTTTATTTTCATTTGCTGGCGTTTGCTAAGTGGTCACTCCTGGTACGGCCACTTCTCTCCAAACTCCTCCAAAGACCTCTTGATGCCTGGCCCAGACCCCCTCAAACCCATGGCTGGCAACCTTCCCCTTTCAGCAGTGGGCAGAAGCAGGGGTTGGGGGAACCTCTCCTGCCCACGTGCCCCAGACTCACCTGCACAAACAGGGGGATGGTGTTGAGTCGGAAGATCTCCATGCGGTTCATGGGATCCCGGGCGAGGATGTGCAGGGCTCCAGTGCAGCCTTCCACGATCTCCTCCATCCTCACGCCGTCCTGTACAAGAGAGCCGTTGGGGCATAGCAACAGGTAGCACTTGGGAGTGGTCACACACCCCCAGGACGCTGGCAAACCTCACTGGTCCTTGGAGTTGGCATCAACTGCAACTCGCCTCCCTATTTACACACTCGCGTGCGCACACGTTCACACAGAGGACACTCTGACTCCCCGGGTAGGGGTCACAGGCCCCTGCAGCTCACTTACCGTGTAGGGCTGCTGTGTGCCTGCAGCCATGTGGCGCTGGGCATCCTGGTGGGCCTTGACCAGCAGCTGGACGAGGCGGGGGATGACCGCTGCCTCCTGCAGTGGGGCATGGTTGGCTGGGCACAGGGCCAGATTCCTGATCAGGCCGATGGTTGCCTGGCAAGAAAAGGGACACTCACCAAGGGCATTTCCTGGGCATCACTTCTCCAGCATCATCTCCTCCTTCCCCTCTCATCTCTTCTGTCCCCCAGGCCAGCCACAGACATGCTGGAAGATCTCCAGAGAATGAGATCACCCCCAGCCCATGCCCCTTATTCCATACAATCTGTGGGTCCTCATGTCTAACTCTTAGAGCCCCTGCTAAAATGATACCCCATTCCAGAATATTCCATCAGCCCCCAGGCCCTGACACTGCCCCCTGTCCCCTCTCTCTTACCTCCCACTCACAGACAACATAGTCTTGCTTTTCTGATAGTTCCCAAACCCTGATTATCAGGGAGAGGGGGTCCTCACTAGGGGTGACCCCAAAGCCTCCTGCTTTGGTGACGCTCACACTGTAATCAACCCCCAGCAGGCGGCTCTGGGAAGAGGTCTCTGCCCCAGGGTCCTCCAACTCCCAGGAGCCATTCTGGCCTCCCAGGGCTCCTTGGGGAGCAATTTATCATCTTATTTGATCCTCAAAACAAGAAACCAGGAGGGCAGGGATGAAAATCACGGGGGAGATGAGGACAGGGTGGATGACCTGCCAAGGTCACTTGTCAACTTAGCTGCTGGGTCAGGGTGCAGACCCTCCACCCACCTCGAGCTTGTGCTGCAGACCAAGACCGAGGAGGGGAGGGACCGCGTGCTGCCCTTTCTTTAAAATACGATATATATAATCACTTAAGAGTCATTCTCATCTGGACTGTTCTATTGTTGAAAACGTAGGCAACAGGAGCCCCTGCCAGCTGGCTCCTGCGCCCTTTGACAAGACCCCAGTCTACGGCGGCTTCCCTCACTCTCTAGCACCAGGTGTCACACACACCGGTAGCTCTGCCCTGGCTCACCCTCACCTCCCCTGCCTGTGACAGGGAACTGATACACATCTCTCCTCTACCCAGGCAGCCCCCCGAGAAGAAGGCTCCACCCTGGCTCCCAGTAGCAGACACCCAGTGTCCCCAGAATCCTCTCTACCCTTTGTCTTTTTCGCAACCCTCCTGAGTTTGAGCAGGACACATAACACAGTGCTAACATCCTTGCATCCAGATGTGGCCAAATGACCAGGTTCCAGAGTACGGGCTGAAGTGCTGTGTCCCACTTTCTGGTCGCTGCTAGCCCTCCCTACTTCTCCAGGGCTAAAAGGCACCTATGGGGATGATATAGTCCAACTGTTCGTGTGAGGGCAGCCCACCCTCATGACCAGACCCTCTGGCATAAGGAATGTGCTCCATGGACCACCAATATCACCTGGGGGCTTGTTAGAAATGCAGACTCTCAGGCCCACCCCAGGCCCACCGAATCAGAGCCTGCAGTTGAATGAGACTGCCCAGGGCGTTCCTGTGCATATTAAACTTTGAAGCTCTATTCTAGGAGATGGCTGAGCTACGAGATAGAAGGAGTCTGGGTCTCAGGAGCAGAGCCACTGTGGAGGTCTAAACCGGAACATGAGAGAGGAGTAAACTTTTGTCTTATCGGAGCCACTGTATTTCAGGCTTCTTTGTTACCGCAGCTTTGCCTGAACCCATACAGCGCCTAATCTGGTCTTCAGAGCTCCTCCCCTCGCTGGACCCCACCGTGCAGGGGGCGGTACCTTGACCAGCGGCCACTGGTTGGGCTGGTTGAGCAGCTTGACGATGGCCGGGATGCCGTAGTTGAGGCGCACGGAGTTCTGAGCCATCTCGGCCTCGGGGTGGCGGCTGGTGAGGTGGCGCAGGGCACAGATGGCGGGCTCTGTGATGTCATCCTTGTCACCGGCACACAGGATGGCGTGGATGAGCGCCTCCACGCCGCTGTTCTGCGTCACCAGCGTCTTGTTCTTGCTGTTGTTGCAGGTCAGGTTGGACAGAGTGCCCGTGGCACAGGTGAGGACATTGACGTCGTCCACGCTCAGCTGGTTCACCAGAATCTTCAGCACACTCTCCAGGCCCTCCTGGGGTCGGGGGAGGCAGAGTGAGGGAGATTCCCAAACGCAGGGTCTTCCCAAGTGTACCCGGGAGAACAGATGGCCTACGGAGGTCTCCAGCCCACTCAGCTCATACTCGATGGGCCCTGCCTGTGTGTGTTCATCCCCGTGATCCTGCCAAACCCCGTGAGAAGGTAGTCACGGGGCAGCTGAGGTCCAGAGAGGTTGAGGGCCTTGCCCACAGACCCACAGCTAGTGAGCCGGATCTGAACTCAGGCCTGTCTGTAAGCTCCACGCTCTTTCCTTCCACCCGCTCCTGTCCTCAGACCCAACAGAGCTCTACTCAGGCCGAGGGAGGCCCCTAGGCCAGAAAGAAATTGTTGAGGAGGTCCATGCTTCCATGGCCCAGCTGACCCACTTTTACACGCTTCTCCCCTCTCTGGGCCTTAGCTGCTGCCCATTCAGTGGTCCCCAGGCCAAATCTGCTTTCAGGAAACACCCCTAACCCAGGAGCCTCATTCTCCCAAGGGGAGCCATGTGGGCCGTGATGGAATAGGAAGACCCTAGGATCTGGGGACAGACAGTCCTGAGTTCAAATCCCAGCTCTGCTAGCTGTGACCAAGGGCCGTTCCTTAACTCCCTGAGCCTCTGTTTCTTTTTTTTTTTTCTATTTTTCTGTGAAAACTTTCTTTTTCTTTAAATTTTTAATTTTATATTGGAGTATAGTTGATTTACAATGTTGTGTTAGTTTCAGGTGTACAGCAAAGTCAGTTATACATATACATGTATCTATTCTTTTTCAGACTCTTTTCCCATTTAGGTTATTACAGAATACTGAGTAGAGTTCCCTGTGCTATACAGTAGGCCCTGTTGATTATCTATTTTAAATATAGCAGTGTGTACATGTTAATACCAAATTCCCAGTTTGTCCCTTCCCCCCGGTAACCATAAATTTGTTCTCTAAGTCTGTGAGTCTGTTTCTGTTTTATAAGTAAGTTCATTTGTATCATTTTTTTTTTAGCTTCCGCATATAATAGCTTCTGTGTGATATTTGTCTTTCTCTGAATGACTTACTTCACTTGGTATGATAATCTCCAGGTCCATTTGTGTTGCTGCCAATGGCATTATTTCATTCTTTTTAATGGCTAAGTAATATTCCACTGTGTATCTGGACCACCTGAGCCTCTGTTTCTTCATCTAGGCCCCACACTCTACCTCCCAGTACCGAAAGGGGTAAAGGAGCCAATGTCCCCGGTGCCTAGTGGAGCCCAGCACGTGGCAGGTGCTCAACAAGCAGCCGATCGATGCAATTCTTAGCAGTGACAGTCAGGTTGGAAGGAGGGACCAGAAGACTTGTCCTGAAACTGCATTTTTCCTTAAGCTGTTTTTAGGCACCGGCGACCCCCAAGCCGTCTCCTGCACACTACTGCTCCCCCCCCACCCAGGGTCTAGGTCAGAACTGTTCCTCTGACACCACCTGAACCCCAGCCAAGAAACATCAGCCTCCTTCATCTAGTCCCCTTTCTGAATCCCTAACAGGGATTAGAGCCTTGAGCCTAAAGGGATGAGGGGTTACAGGGCACTTCCATCCCCAGCCACAGTGGAGCAAGATACAGAAGTCTCAGCCCTTCCCCAGCTCCTAAGGTCAGACTCCCAGACAGGAGGTTGGACATGGTAAGATGGAAGGACGAGGTGGCTGAAGAGGCAGACCCAGGCTCCATGACCTCCCTCACCTGCTTGGTGGCCACATCCGAGAGGTTGCGCAGGGTCCAGAGGCAGTTCTGCACGAGGCGGGGGCTGTTGCTCGTCAGGTGTTTGCCCAGGGCCTGCATCCCACCTGGGGTGGGAGATCGGGGCACATCAGCCACAGGGGAGCACCGCTGACTGAGCCTGGTCACTGGTCAGAGCCCCTACACCCCCGCCTGCCCGGCCACAGTACTCACCAGCCTCCACGATAGCAGGCTTATTGCTGGGACACACGGACAGCACCTTGAGCACACGGCTGGTGGTCCAGAGCAGCTTCTCGTAACTGTAGTTCCGCATGATGTGCACGAGAGCCTGGGGTCCTCCATTGGCCAGGATGATGAGCTGTGGAGGGAGGGGGGAAATGCGTGTGAGACAGATAGGGACTAGGACAGGGAACAAAGAAGGAAGGGGGGTGACAGAGCTGTTACTACTGTGCTTCATCTAAAACCTGAACAGCTTTTGTGACTATTAAATAAGCCAAAACGTTACAAAAAAAGGTAAAACACAATGATGGAAAGGATGAGGTGAAACTACTAATGTACATTGCCACTGATGGCATTGCAAATAATGCAATCCTTTTGGAAAGTACCTGGAACTCTGAGTAAAAGCTTAGAGATATTAAAAATCCTCAGCCCCACTGATGAAAAACTTTTCCTACTCTCTGGGAAAGGCTGTGTACTTGAATATGTTCATTACAGCATCGTGCGTTCATCAAGGTGGAAAATCGGGAGCAACCTAGATGCCCTCCCTCAGAATAAAGTCTGAGGCCTCCACTTAAGTGAAATGCTATTTGCTGTTATAGAGGGTGGTTTTGAGGACAGTCTAGCCAAAAAAAAATTTAATATCATGCAGAAAACAGATGCAAAGTTGTAAATTGCTGTAAGTACAACTGTGTACAAACATGCCCACAGGAAAGCACTGGAGAAGCACATGGTTGTATGAGGATAATGAATTTTTTCTCTCCCTTGTCCTCAAAATATCCAGTAATATGGTGAAACATGTACATCTGTATATACATATATATTTAACCTAAATAGGGTAAGAAGGCAGTGTCCTGAAGCTGCCGCTGGACGGAGGGTGATGCCACGGGGGCTGCAGGTCTTGGTTGGGGGTGGGGTGCGGCCCACCTTGCTCTCCTGGTTGCCGTAGGCCAGGAGCTGCAGGCAGTCGGTGGTGATGGCCAGGAACTTGGGGTTGTTCTTGTTGAGCAGAGGCACCATCTTCTGCAGCCCGTCTGCCAGGCGCACCGCCATCTTGGCGCCCTCTTGGTACAGCAGCAGGTTGTGCAGCGTGGTGATGGCGTAGAAAAGGACTGACTCCACGGGGGAGCTGGGAGAGGGGCAGGGGGGTCACGTGAGTCAGGTCCCAGGTGAATGTGGGCCACCTCTCAGTACTGACACCCCAATGGTGTCCCTTGAGTCCAGCCCCACTTTTTTTTTTTGGGCCACACCGTGCGGCATGCAGGATCTTAGTTCCCTGACCAGGGATCAAACCCACGCCCCCTGCAGTGGAAGCGCGGAGTCTTAACCACTGGACCGCCAGGGGAGCCCCCCACCCCCAGCCCCATTTTTATGCACAAAGCACACAGCATCTCTCCTCTCTCCACTGGGACCAGGACTCCTCCTGCTTTGTGCTCCCGGCTGGGTGCTAAACGTACGGTTGGTCCCCTTGACACCTGTCCCTACTGAGTAACTGCCATGTGGAAGGCCTCATACTAGAGAGGCCCTGCAAGGGACTCAGGGGAATAAGATCAGTATCTCCACCCTTAGGTAACTCGCAGCCTAATATGATGTAAGGAAAAAGGCCAATCAACACTGCAAGGCTGGGAAAGGTAAAGGTGGCAAAGGACTTCGCACATGCTGTTCCCTCTGCCTGTAATACTCTTCCCTTCATCTACACCAGCCAAACTCCACTCATCCGTCAACCCCCTGCCATTAGAGTGAACAGCTTCTTGGAGCTCCGCTGACCAATCTTGGACACACCTTTGCTCTCATCTATACTGTATCCTGATAACTAACCTGCGAGTTACATGCCTGTCTCCCCTGCTATGCTGTGAGCAGCTGAGCACCAAGACTGGGTGTGGTTCTGCACCTGGCACATAGTAGGTGCTCAGTAAATGTATGGAAGCCCAGGGACGTGGGCAGGTTGGGGAGTCCAAGGGAGGGGAAGCCCCAGGCTCCCGCGGTTGGGTAGGGGTCGGTACCTGAGCATGCGGACCAGGGCAGGGATGCCACCCGACTTGAAGATGGCAAGCAGCCCCTCGCGGTGGTGGGAGAGGTTGTGAAGGATGCTGGTGGTACAGCGGGCTGTGTCCAGGTCGCTGGTGTTCTGCATGGCGCGCACGACGGCTGCTACCAGCTGGGGCGAGCCCATCAGCGCCCGCCGAGATGCCTCCTTCTTGGACAGCTGGTTCACGATCATGGCCGCCTTGGTCACCACCACCTGGGGGGAGGGGGAGGATAGGAGGATCTGAGCAGATGGGCCAGGCTGGTTGCCACTGTGAGAAGGAAGGGCCAGGAGACCCCTCCACAAAGCTCACACAGACCCGGGTGAGACTCTTCCCAATGATGGGGCTTTGGGTCAATGACCTCCCTCCACCCCAGGTAGGGCCCTCTCCTGCAGACACCTGACCTCTCCCTTCCCTGCCCCGCCTCCACCCCAGCCAGACCCCTCACAGACCGGGTCCTCATCGTTGAGCAGCTTGGTGAGCTCAGGAAGGGCCCGGGTGGCCAACTCAGCGTCGTCCTGGTAGTTGATGAGATGCACGATGGCCGACTTCAGGAGCTGGGATGGCTCGGCCAGCCGCTGCAGGTTGGTGGTCTGTCCCTCCACCTGGGTGGCCAGCAGGCAGCTGTCCTCTCTTGTCACACCAGGACATATGGCCTCCCGCACCCGCTGGGCTCTGCCTGTCGTGGACATCTGGTAATCCAGGTCACCTGGGGGCCAACAGGCAGGGACTGAGCTGCAGGATGCGGGCAGGGGGACACTGGGGAGCAGGCATCCCATCTGGGTCCTCTGGACCGCCTCCCAGACCACCACTCATAGTTCTACCTTTAACCAGTGACCTTGAGGAGGGCATCATCGCCTCAGTTACATCATCTGTAAAATGGGGCACCACCTGTCCTGTCCGTCGCAGGGAATTCTTACAAGAATTAAATGAGATAATAGTTGTGAATTGGGACCTCCCTGGTGGTCCAGTGGTAAAGAATCCTCCTTACAATGCAGGGGATGCGGGTTTGATCCCTGGTCAGGGAACTAAGATCTCACATGCCGCGGGGCAACGAAGCTCACGTGCCACAACTAGAGCCCACGTGCCACAAACCACAGAGCCCTCGCGCTCTGGAACCCACGTGCCACTACAATGCCCACACGTCCTGGAGCCTGCGCACCACAACTAGAAAACAGAAAATCCACATGCCACAACTAGAGAGAAGGCTGTACACCACAATGGAGAGTCCACGCGCCGCAGCGAAGACCCGACGCAGCTAAAAACAAATAAAATAAATAATAAATAAATCTTTAAAAAAAAAGTTGTGAATTGCTCTTAAAAGAAAGGATGACGAGGTGCTTCCCTGGTGGCACAGTGGTTGAGAGTCCGCCTGCCGATACAGGGGACACGGGTTCGTGCCCCGGTCCGGGAGGATCCCACATGCCACGGAGCGGCTGGGCCTGTGGGCCACAACTACTGACCCTGCGTGTCTGGAGCTTGTGCTCCGCAACAGTGAGAGGTCCGTGAACCGTGATGAAGAGTGGCCCCCGCTCGCTGCAACTAGAGGAAGTCCTCGCACAGAAACGAAGACCCAACACAGCCAAAAATAAATAAATGAATTAATTAAAAAAAAGAAAGGATGCATGTGCCTGGCACATATTGCTAAGAAAAAGTTCAGAGATTATTATTATTAAAAGGAATAGCTAACATCTTTTGAGTACAGGCACACCTTGGAGATACTGCGGTTTCATTTCCAGACCACTGCAATGAAGTGAATATTGCAATAAAGTGCGTCATGAATTTTTTGGTTTCCCAGTGCATATAAAAGTTATGTTTACACTGTATGTAGTGTATTAAGTGTGCAATAGCATTATGTCTAAAAAATGTACATATCTCAATTTTAAAATACTGCCCCAAAATGCTAACCGTCATCTGCGTCTTCAGCAAGTCATAGTAATATCAAAGATCACTGATCATACATCACTATGACAAATAAAATAGTCATGAAAATGTTTGAAATATTGCAAGAATTACTAAAATGTGACACAGAGACATGAAGTGAGCAAACGCTGTTGCAGAAATGACACCGATTGACTTGCTCCATGCAGAGTTACCACAAAACTTCAATTTGTAAAAAACGCAGTATCTGCGAAGTGTCATCAAGTGAAGTGCAATAAAACGAGGTGTGCCTGTACTTATTATGTGCTTAGCAGTGAACTAAGTGCTTTCCTTATACTTTTCTCATCTAATCTTACAACAATCCTAGAACGTAAGGACTATTATTATCTCCGCTTTATAGATGGGAAAACTGAGACACAGAGAGGTTATAAGAACCCAAGCTGGGATCTGAACTCAGACAGCCTGACTCCAGAATCCAACCCCGACTCTATGCCCCTCCCTTAACCACCAGGTAGAGGTAGGATGAGACAACCTCGGTCTATTTTCAACCCTGAAATTTCACGGTTCTAATTATACCCTCATCCTCCCCAAAGGAGACAACTCTCCCATTATACGGGCAGGCAAATAGAGGCCCAGAGGGCCACCCAGTAGAATACAGCAGATCAGAGGGAAAGTCCAGACTGTGGGTTTCAGCAAGCAAGAGGGGGGCTCTCAGCTCAGAGTCCAGGCTCCACCCCCTGGCGGGTCTGGGAGTCCCACAAACAGGTGCCCCGGCTTCCCAGGCAGCCCTGCCCTGGCAGGCAGCCCTGCCCTGGCAAGTGTCCCAAAGCCCCGAAGAGAGGGAGGCAGAGGTTCCACCCTCCAACCAGTCGGGAAGGAGAGACCATCCACGTGACTTTCCCATCCGGATGCTGTACTTGAGCTACCAACACAATGCCTGGCCCTGCCAGGCTGAGAGGCCTCTGCCTGCTGTGTGGGAGGAGCTCCCCAGGGTGCAGAGGCTGAGCTCTGCCGTGGCCCAGGCTGCCAAAGCCTACCCAGCACCCTCCCCAGCTCCCATAGCTCTCTGGGCTGCAACACTCAGGGCCCTGGAGGTATCTGTGGACTACAGACAGGACTGGATACTCCTCTCCCCCAGACAGGCAGGGCACCCTGGGCTGGTGGGGATCCCCACCCCTGACTAAGCCCCAGAACCGGGCTCTGCCTCCCCGGAGCAAGAGGACTGTGTCTTCCCCACAGTCCCTAAATTCCCTGAAGGCAGCAGTGATGCCTCCTCATCACACTGTAAGTTCACGGAAGGCAAAGACTGTGCCTCTTGCTTCAGACTGGTGGGCAGGGTTTACGCTTCCGCTCCGTACCAGAGGTTCATGGAAGAGGAATCTGCCTCCCTCCCAGATGCGGGCGCTCTGAAGTCGCTGTGCCTCCTCCCTCAGACTGGTAAGTCTAAGAACAGGAGCTGTGGGGCTTCCCTGGTGGCGCAGTGGTTGAGAATCCACCAGCCAGTGCAGGGAACATGGGTTCAAGCCTTAGTCTGGGAAGATCCCACATGCGTCGGAGCAACTAAGCCCGTGTGCCACAACTACTGAGCCCACGTGCCACAACAACTGAAGCCTGCATGCCTAGAGCCCGTGCTCCGCAACAAGAGAAGCCACCACAATGAGAAGCCCATGCACCACAACTAGAGAAAGCCCGTGCACAGCAACGAAGACCCAAGCAGCCAAAAATAAACAGATAAATAAATTTATATATTAAAAAAAAAACAAACAAACAACCGTAGCTGTGCCTCCCTCCTCAGACCGGGAGCCCCCTGAAGTCTGCCTCCTCTGACCCTGACCTCCCTCCAGTGCCCAGCCTGGCTTTCGGCTGGAATATTCCCATGGAAGAGTCCCCAGGGATCCTGACCTTGGCTCTGGGGCACCGCCTGGGTGTAGGTGGTGGTCTTCTTCAGCATGTACTGGCGCTCACAGGCCTCGTCATCCTCCGTGACGCCTTTGCTGCTGACCGAGGGCACGCAGGTATTGACCCCCGAGTGGATGCCCGAGTCGTAGGTGTACGTCTGTTGCCACTCCGTCACCTTGATGGGTTGTTCGATCAGGTTCATCACGTCCATGGTGGCTGCTGGGGACACAAAGGAGGGGCAGGAAATTAGCTGGCCGCAGTGAGGCATCCCATCAACAGGCCCAGTCCCCACCTTCAGCCTCTCCCCAGGCCCTGCCCATCACCCCTAACCCGCACCACAGCTGCAAGGCCGTCAGCAGGCTGTGGAGGAGGGTGGGAGACAGGAGAGACCAAGCCCAGGGGGGGACTGCCAGGATGGGACACCTGTCTGTGAGTCCTGGGCTTGCATCTCTGACCTCCAGCCCAGGGTGGGGTGAACCCAATGGCGGGAGGGGTATAAAGGGCCAGATGCCCCAACCCAGCCCTCAGCTCACTCACCTTGCTGTCCCAGCCCCAAACCCCCAGAACAGGAGAAGGCATTCAGGACCTTCAACAGCTTCTAGGGTCCCGCAGACCCACCCCCATCCACTGGGGCCCCCTGGGAAGCACTGTAGAGGTGAGGCAGCTACACCCCAGGCACTGGGCAGGAAACCGGGTGGGGCAGGGAAGCAGCCAGACAGGTTTCTCTGGGAAGCCTCAGACTCCAAGATCTCACTTTCCTGCAGATGGGGCAGGATCACGAGTGACCCCAGAGGCTCAGGCCCTAAGGACCCCATCTCTCCAGCACTCCAGCTTCTAGAAGCCTTTCCCAGAATTCTGAATCCCACCAACCAGTTCAAATCTCAGCCACATACTACTGGGCAACTCACTGCTCTGCTGAACCTCAGTCCTCATTTGTAAAATGGGGTAGCACCCCCTCCCTCGTAGGCTGTTGTGAGGACCAGATTCGTAAAGGACCCAGCCTGGTGCCTGGCACACAGTAGGTGTTCAATGTTGGTGACCATGGCCAGATATCAGTATTGCTTCTCCCTCAGGGTGGGGCAGACTACTATTCAGAGACTTGGGGCCACTTGAGGCTCATGAATAGCTGGGCCTGACTCTACCAGGGAGGTGGTGACTCCCACTTGGTCTGTCCAGCTCCCGTCTCGGTGCTGACCTCCAGAGTCCAGCAGCTGGGAGGACGGGCAAGGGAGGCTGTGCCCCAGTGAGGGCCTTCCTGGTGTCCTTCAAGAAGGCTTCCCTGGTGGCGCAGTGGTTAAGAATCCGCCTGCCCATGCAGGGACCACGGGTTCGAGCCCTGGTCCAGGAAGATCCCACATGCCGCAGAGCAACAAGGGCCATGCGCCACAACTACTGAGCCTGCGCTCTAGAGCCCCCAAGCCACAGCTACTGAGCCCGCGTGCCGCAACTACTGAAGCCCGCGCACCTAGGGCCCGTGCTCCGCAACAAGAGAAGCCACTGCAATGAGAAGCCCGCGCACCACAACAAAGAGTAGCCCCCCCTCACCGTAACTAGAGAAAGCCTGCGCACAGCAACGAAGACCCAACATAGCCAAAAATTTAAAAAACAAATAAAATAAATAAATTTTAAAAGGTCACCATCCTCACAAGTGGGTTTCGAAGCACATGCTCTGCTCCCGCATTTACAGATGGGGAAACTGAGGCTCCACCCAGTAAGGAGGCATAGCAGAGAAATGACAGAGCCAGGCCCAGGCCCAGGTGTGAGTGACACCCGAGTCTGTGGCCTGTGCACACCCAGTGTGGCCTCAGATGGCAAGTAGACCCCAGGCTGGTCCACCCGTGAGGCTGGGCAGCAGTACCCAGCACCTCAAACCCACTGTCCCATTGTGTTGGGAGACCAGTTAAGGACGAGGCTGGAGTGGCTGGTGAGCCTGGTCCCACCCCAGGAACAAAGATCACCAAGGATATGTCTTCTGGGATGGCCCCAGTGCCACCCTCCAGGAGGATGACAAAGATCCTTCATGTCACCCTGCCTTTTATGGCGACCCCAGCTCCCCGTCTGCTTGTGAGCACACCTGGAACCGGCAGAGGCAGGAGCCAGACCAGCTCCCCGCGGACTCCTTCCTCTCCTCCCATCACCCCGAGTGACTCAGAGTTTCAGGCTGATAAACAGAAGTGGGCTCGGTGCCTCCAGATGTGCCCAGCTGCTTTCCAGGCACCGGCCAAGTGTGGCTATTTCAGGGGAAGCCCTTCCCCCCCGCCCCCACCCTAACCACACACTGCCCGGCACTCCTGCCTTCCCTGGACACAGAATACAGGAGAGTTTGGGAGGAGAAAGCCTGTCGCAGAAGCCCCAGGGAGAAAATTCAGGCAGGAGGCCTTGGACATCCAAACACTGGAGAAGGAAGATGAAACTGCATCAGTAAATACAGTTGCATTAACCCTGTAAAGGCCACTTTGCCGGGCAGAGGGCTGAGCCGACATCTGGACGCCGAGCCTCAGTCAGATTCGCTTAGGACAAACTGGACATCTCCAGCCCTATCAGTAAAAACACGCAACCCGCGCCAGAAAAAGCTGCTCCCCAGTAGAGACCACCGCCTACCCTGATGCTTCTGAGCCAAGTAAGAGGGATACAGGCCTTGGCCGGAACCTCAGGGACAATCCCCTCACCAGCCCCATATCCAAAGGGACCACCGAGGTCAAGGCTGGCCATAGGAGGGGCATTTCCTCAGCAGGCCCCTCACCAACCCCCGCCAGCCCAGGCCTGGAGCCAAAAGAAGTTGAGGGCTGGACAGCTGCCCAGGGCGAGACAGAGCCCTCAGAGGTCACAGGATCCATGGCGGAGGGGAGGAGGGGGTGGGGGGAAAGCCTTAACTAGCAAATGAATCTCATGCTTCCCTAGAAGCAACCCTGGCCGGCATTTTATTATTCCCAGTTTCTAGGTGAGGAAACAAGCTCCAGGCTGAAAAACAGTGGCGCTCTGCTCAAATCCAGATCTGCCTCACTGCCAACCAGCCTCCAGCCCACCTAGGAGAGAATGCCAGACACCCTGCTGCAGAAGAGAGTGAGGGGCAGGGGGCAGGAGGGGCACAGGTGGAGCCGAGCACCTGCTGCTTGGCAATCAGGAGTCCCAGGTTCTAGTCCCACCTCTGCTGCAAACTTGCTGTGTGTCCTTGGGCAACAGCTTTCCCTCTCTGTGCTTCATCTTCAGAAAGGCTAGCCCAGGTGATCTCAGAGGAAAGTTGATATCTAAGATTCTAGGGATAAAGAGTCAGAATTCCCATGACAGACCAGAAAAGGCTGAGGGTGGGCAGGGTCAGAGGTGGAAAGCAGTCCAGAAAGGACATGCACCAGAACTCTTCTTGAAGAAAGGATGCTGGTGGGAAGCCACTCCCGCCACAGGAAAGATATAAGTCAGACCTCAGGCAGGGCTGTCAAGCAGCCCCACCTTTCTCCCCACCTACTCCCCAGGAGAACCAGGGGAATTCTTTTTTTCTTTTTTAATATATTTATTTATTTATTTTTGGCTGTGTTGGGTCTTCGTTGACGCACACGGGCTTTCTCTAGTTGCGGCCAGCGGGGGCTACTCTTTGTTGCAGAGCACGGGCTCTAGGCACACAGGCTTCAGTAGTTGTGGCACATAGGCTTAGTTGCTCCGTGGCGTGTGGGATCTTCCCGGACCAGGGCTCGAACCTGTGTCCCCTGCACTAGCAGGCAGATTCTTAACCACTGCGCCACCAGGGAAGCCCCAGGGGAATTCTTTCACAAGAAACAAAAGTGCTGTTTTTGCAGCTCCCAGGGTGGAGGAGGCCGCACCCGGTTTGGTCTTGTCCCTCTCCGCCCTGGACCTGGAGTGACACCCGCCACAATGCCCCTGGACAGAGCCAGGGTGGAAGGAGGTGAGACAGACGCGGGCCCTGCCCTTGCACCCTGGCGGGAGCCGGGCAGAGCCAGACACAGGGCGGGGCCCTGAGTTGAATGGGCGCACTTTGTTTAGCAAGCAGTCTCTATTGCAGGAGGAAGAAGCCAGCTCAGAGATCACTGGGTGGGGTGGGGGACCTGGCAAGGGACAGGAAGAGAGAAGACAGGGGCCCTGAAGAGGGTGTGCGAAGGACCCTTCCCCCACTGGTCCACACTGGCCAGGAGTCTGCAAGCAAGGGGACTGCTTTGGGGCCTGCCCTGCCTGTCGCTCCTGCTTCCTCCTCCGCGTGGCCGACCCAGGGGGCTGGCAGCAAGCACCCTAAATCGAAGACTGTCCTGGCAGAGTGTGGCCCAGCTCTGACATTAAAAAGGACTCCCAGGAATTCCCAGGCAGTCCAGTGGTTAGGACTCCGTGCTTCCACTGCAGGGGGCACGGGTTCGATCCCTGGTCGGGGAACGAAGGTCCTGCATGCCATGCGTCACGGCCAAAAAAAAATTAAAGAGAAATAAAAAGAACCCCCACCAGAGCTGCATCAGGCTTCTTCGCCCTGCCAGTACCTGCCGCAGTGACGGGCTGGGCTGGGCTGCAGGACGCCAAGTGTCAATAAGACACGGGGAGACCAGGACCGGAAATGGGCTGCCTGAGAGGTGAGCTGGGACCCGGCTCAGAAACACTGCATCAGAGCAGTCAGGGCCCCCCAGAAGTTCCTTGGGCCAGAGGCCAGCACCCTGTGCAGACACGGATCACGGGCTCAGAAAATGACAGACGAAGGGGGCCATGGGCAGGGCGGGAGGGCATGGGGGTCAGGGGAAGGCTCCATCCAGCCCCCCGCGCTCACTGGCCGCGTGCCCTTGGGCGAATCACGCAACTTCCTGAAGCCTCATTCCGCCTCTGTAAAGTAGAGACAATCAAGACACTCCCTTCTTCAGACGGCTGTGTGTTGTGTGGATGGTACACAGCCATGACTGTGCAAGGCCTCTGTTGGTAGGAAAGGCCCAGGCAAGCGTCCTTCTACTAGGGAAGCACAGACATGGCAGAGGAGGAAGCCAGCAGAGATGGGCCTGGCAAGGTAGCCACCAGCCTGCTTTGTGGGACCCAGTACTCAGGGCAAGACCCAGGCTTCCTTTCCCTGACCCCTCAGATGAAGGCTAGGAGGGGAGCTGCCTCCCGGCCCTAGGCCAGAGCCCCTGGGGTCGGGGGAGGTGTGGCCAGGGAGGATGAATTATGTCCAGGTCCTGGGAGGGGAGGCCAGGTGGAGACATGGCGCTGCCCCTCTCCCCGGTCACACGTGCCGCCTT